TAAAGCCCAAAAAGTACACAATTGAGCGATAAGGGCTCTAGCCCTGCAAGATCAGCTCCTCAGCAGCCAACTGCCTCCGACGCCGCGTCACAGCTGCTCATGACCGCCATCCGAGACCTAACGGCTGAGGTTAAGGGATTAAAATTCGCCCTCGATGCTAATGCCAGCGAGGTTAAGGAATTAAAAACAACTCTGGAGAAGCAGACCAATGCAACCTTTGAAAACGCAGAAAAATTAAATGCAATAGAGACCCTTCTGGAAACCCAAAATTCGAGGTTGGAAGGAGTAATGATGGAAAATGCGACACTCAGGTCCCGCGTATCGGAGCTTGAAACCAGACTTAACAGGGCCGAGCAAATGCACCTTTCCAGGTCGGTTGAAATAAGGGGAGTTCCGGTGAGATCCGGGGAGACGCCTATGGGCCTGGTGATGGCTGTGGGGGCCGGCCTGGGCTTGAATTTAAAGCCGGACGATGCCGACTGCGCGGAGCGGATGAGATCTAGGCAGGATAATACATCCGGGCCGCTACTGGTGAGATTCGTCAGACAGACGCTCAGAGATGAGTTGGTCCAAAGGCGAAAGGTTATACGGGACTTCTCAACTCGACACCTGGGATGGCAGGAAAATGATGCTCACAAAGTATATGTAAGCGACGCAATGTCCGTAACCAACCGACATCTATATTGGTTAGCCCGACAGAAGAGATCTGCGGGTAAGATCAGATACGTCTGGTTCAACGTGGGCAAAGTGAAATGTCGACCTGATGACGGCCAACAGGTTGTCGTGATCAACTCGCCAACGGACTTGGACATATTCTCATGACTTGCACTTACATGTTCAATTGCTCTGCTCACATTATTTTTCATTTCTGTTTTTGCACATTTCGATTTTTATTATTTTTTTTTTAAAGATAATAATTTAGTTGTTTTTGATCTAATTTATTTTGATAATTATTTTATTTTCGTTTATAAGAACAGAATATGTTTCATACTTTTAGACATTTTAATATACTTAAATAAACTTTATTCCGATGTAGAGGTACATCTTTCGTTTTCTGAATTGTATATCTCCAACTTTTCAAGATTAATAATACCAGAAAATTACTATTCTTTATTTTCTGTTTTTGTTTAGCACCATTTATTATTACACTCATGAATCTTTGCAATAGAGGTGTCATCAACAATTATGTACTCTGGGCTCATACTAGCTCCAACCACTATAAAAATATTCCTACCTCTAGCACTTTCAGTCTGTTAACCAAGCCACCCCTCCTTCTCCCATGACTAATATCCTTTTAACCTGCCACGTCAACGCTCAGTCACTCCTAGCCCATTTTGGTGAATTTTATGATTTTTTCCTTCACAACTTCTACCATTTAATTGCAGTTTCTGAAACCTGGTTAAAGCCCTCTATTCCGTCTTCCCAAATTACTTTACCCAATTATATCCTCCTTTGTCATGACAGAGAGAATCGTACAGGTGGTGGAGTGGGCCTCTTTGTCCATGACAGCCTTAAATTCAAAATCATACAGTGCTCTTCCCATACCAATTCTCCGCACCTGGAATATCTTTTTACTGGAATCCTCACCCCATCATCTCCCCTTCTCTTTGCATTCATTTATCGTCCTCCAAGAATTCCGTTTGATGAATCATTTGAGACTTCCCTTAACAACTTGATCCCTTCCTACTCCAATATTATCCTCACCGGAGACTTCAATACCAATTTAATGATACCATCTTCTGACCATTCCTACCTGACAGGCCTCCTCGAATCACTCAGCCTTTATGTAGTACCCTACAACCCGAACCATCATACCCAGTTCTCAGAGTCCTGGCTTGATTTGTTTGTCTTGGATTCCCTGGATAAACTCATGTCGGCATCTCAGCACCCGGTTCTATTTCTGTCTCCCCATGGTCTTATCCAGATTTCCTATAACATCCCGGTCCCATTTTTTTCTCCTCAAACCATATCCTTCCGAAACCTCAACTCCCTCACCTATGAAACCCTGTCGCAGGATCTCGATGCTTCCCAGTGGGACCCCATTTATTCCTGTAAATCCATTGACGCCATGGTAGAAATCTTTACCAACCATCTTCATACCATCCTCGACTGCCATGCTCATCTCCTAACTAAAACCATCCGACATTCCCCTGCTCCTTGGCTGACACCCGCTTTAAGAACGTGTACGAGAAGAAGTGATGCGGCAAGACGAAGGTTTAAACGTACCCAACTCTCGGAAGACTATATCGCCTTAAAGCAACTACGAAACAGCACTCAGTCTGCTATACGCCGAGCCAAATCCCGTTACTTCCATCATTCCTTATCCAACACCCCAAACTTCAATGCCAAGTGGGCTATCCTAAAAAAACTGACCAATTGCAACACACCTTTAACCCAGCTCATCTTCTTTTCAGCTGATGACCTTAACGCTCGCTTTGTCTCCTGTCCCTTCTCATCCTCATTTCCCGCGGCTATGCTGACTCCTGTGTGTTTCCCTATAAATTTTAATCCTGATCAATTCTTTTTTTCCCATATTATACCTGGTTACCTCCTCAACTCCATTCAAAAGTCGCAAACCAATGATTATGGACCTGATAACATCCCAGTCAGACTGATCAAAGCCTCACTACCATCCATCCTTCCAATCCTCTATCACATCTACAATTACTCACTACAAAACGCTACCTTTCCTACATCCTGGAAAACCGCACTAGTTCGCCCTATGAAAAAGACTTCCAATCCGTCAACTCTCACTGATTTCCGTCCAATTTCTCTCCTCTCAAATCTTTCTAAACCTTTAGAGCGACTAGTTCAAACCCAGGTATCAGATTTTTTAGAACAGAATAACCTCCTAAATCCTAACCAGTCCGGTTTCCGGCCTGGCTACTCCACTCAGTCTGCCCTCATCAAAATTTCCCAAGACCTTCAAACAGCCATGGACCAGCAGAAACTCACCATCCTTATTTTCCTTGACTTCTCCAAAGCCTTTGACTCAGTAGACCTCAAAATTCTCCTAACCAAGCTTAAAAATATTTCCTTCTCAACTAGTACCCTTAATTGGTTCCAATCCTTCCTTTCCGACCGCTCCTAGTATGTTATAGTCCCCAATAACCTCCATCAGAACCTTTACCTTTGTCCAGGGGTGTCCCACAAGGCTCCTCTTTATCTCCCACCCTTTTTTCCACCTACATCAATGACCTTTCATCCTCTATTCTTCACTGTCAATACCATCTGTACGCCGACGACGTCCAGATTTAACTCTCCTTCAATCCAACCGAATCCTCTGGCGCCATCCAAAAATTAAAGGATGATATAAATGCAATATGTGCCTGGGCAAATCACAATAGGATTACTCTAAACGCCAATAAGACGAAAGCCATTCTGATCGGATCTCCCTCACTCCTCAAATCCATACAGATACTCAATCTTTTCCTGAACAACTCACCTATCTCATTCCATACTTCCGTAAAAAACTTTGGTGTTACATTCGATCAAACCTCTCCTGGAAACCACACATCTCCCAAATTTCCCGTCGTACTGTCTCTTCCCTGAAACAGTTTAACCGTCTCCGCTATCTCCTTCCATATAAATCCCGTCAACTCCTGGTTTCCTCCCTTGTGTTCCCCCACTTCGACTATGGCTGTCTGGTGTACGGCGGACACTCGGGAGAATTCGAGGCCAGACTTAAACGCCTAATGAACTGCGCAATACGTTTTGTTTTCGGAATCTCAAGAGATACGCATATAAGCCAGTATTACACCAAGTTGAAGTGGCTCTATCCATCCAACCGCCGTTTGTACTTCCTTGCCACTTTTCTATACCAAGTCATCAGAACTCAGCGGCCTTCCTATATTTTTCACAACCTACAATTCAAATATTCCATTCAATCCCGTCTCACTAGATCTCGTACCTCCGACGTCTATCCACCTCCCCACCGAACTGCAGCGTTTGACAAATCCTTTATAATTCAAGCCGTCTCCTTCTGGAATACCATCCCTCCCGATATCCGACATGTACAATCAGTTTCCTCATTTAAATCTCTCCTTTTTAACCACCTACTCCTTTCCCAACCCGAGTGATCATGAAATGTAGATAAGAGAACTTTTAAAGTTCCCCCAGAAATTATTTTCTTTGCTTATACTATTTTATTTTATTATATAGTTTGTATTATACATATCAGAATGTTTTTAGTGTAATAGTTATATTTTTTGTTTTATTATTTTTTCAAAATCTTAATCTTAATAATAAATGTAAATAATTAATTTTATGTGTTTTAGGCATTTATTCTGCATCTGTAATTTGTCCTAAAGGAACAACAGTCCCAGGATAATAAAAAAAATTTTTTATTTCATTCATTTCATCAATGCATTTAACTTCAAATTATTTCGAATCATTCCCGAGATCTTGCCAAATAATTTGGACCCGTCGAATTAAAAATGGGTCAAGTCGTTCGTTTAATAAAAATCATTACATACCTCGGAACGTTGAAGCTTAAAACATAACGCTCTTAGCGAGTTCACGGTTTTTGGGTAATGAAGTATTTGATAAATGATTTTATTTACATACAGATTTTCTTGAATAATATCGAAATATAGCAATTAATGGTAAATTATAACGGTCGGGTGGTAGTGCATATTATTTTAGAAATATTTACCTTTATTTGTACCAATTGCGTGATAAAATAATTTTTTTAACCAAAATATCTGGCTAGAATATTTACCTATTTTACCATTTTTTTCTATTAAGATTAAACCTTTCCGTCTTTATCTATTTTAATTTTCATTCGAACAAATTTCGATTCTGTGGATCATTTTCTAGTTTATTATTTGTAGTTTAATTGTTGATCAAAATGAGATAATATGAATGACGTTTGAAGGATTTCCCTTATCAAGAAAAGAAAATTATTTTAAAAGAAAAAGAAAATAACCTTATATTTAAATAATTATCAAGCCATTTAGAATAACGAAATAAAATTTAACTAATTATTTTCTGTGTTACAGGAAAATATGATAAGGGAGCAAGGATATCCCTTCGAAAAACACTCTGTGGTCACCGATGATGGATACATCTTGACTCTTCACAGGATACCCCACGGAAAGAACCAATCGGGGAAGGTAGGACGACCTGTGCTGCTGTGGCATGCCATCCTTTGTAGTTCGGACGTCTGGGTTGTGTCGAGGCCTGACAAGGCTTTGGGTGAGTTCTTGGTGTTAAAGGTACTGATATTAATTAAAGGGTCCACTGATGGTTTTCTGTTTTAGCTTTCATTCTGGCTGATAAAGGCTACGATGTGTGGATGGCTAATAGTAGGGGAAACACCCACAGTAGGAAGCACAAGACTTTAAGTCTCCAAAGCGCCGAATATTGGAATTTCAGGTAGATTAGTCATATCTTATCGTTGGTAATAATTTAGAAGTAAATCATTTATATTTAAGCTTTGGTTCGTCACTTGTGGAATAATCATCAAATCAATCTGTTTTGGTTTTCTGAGATTCGGAAGCATTTGGAATTCTTCTGATGAATCTCAGCATAGACAGCGTTAATGTACCTCTTCTTTGTTAATCTTTAAATTCTATGAGATTACTAACCACGAATATGCTTGTTACTTTCTTTCTTTTAATACAATTTTTTATTAAATTTATAAAATACATAATATATAAAAAATTCTATTTATAATTTTTTTTTGTAGGGTTTAATGTATCAAATATTAAAGTGTTAAGACAAACTTTTTTATATCATCATACCTAAATATTTTGGTGCATATAAAATGGTGTAATATAATTTAATTTAATTGTAATAAAAATATATTTTCGTGGTAGATTCCTTAAACAATTTGACCCATAGAGGCTTAGTACTAATAACGTAGTAGATTTTTTCTAATTCCATTTCAAGGCAACTTCCATGAATTATTGATATATGTTCTGCCATTAGAAGAATTGAAAGAAATGAAGGGACTGTAAGTCGTTTTGATGGGACGATTTCAGGAATCTTATTACTTTTAATACTTAGTTCAAAATTAATTATGCACAACATAACCTTCCCAATTTTATTATTCTAACCACATTAGGCGCATTTAACAATTCATAAATTTCTCTATTCTCCAAGCCAATCCTTCCTTTAAATGGTCAAATTTGCATAGAATTTTTCTTTCAAAGACCAAAAGATGTTTGGCTAGTGTAGATAAGAACTGAATGGATAAGCGTTTAATAGAGCCGGATCCTGGTATGCCTGATAAGTAGTTTATTTATCAAATGTTTAAGTAGGCCAAAAAAACATTGTTTGGAGTTGATATCGGTAATTGTATTTCAAGCAGCATTTTATTTAGTGGTAATTCGAGATCCCAGATATGAAATTTTTTTAACGCTCTCAAATAGATATTCTTCTGCATTGTTATTTACACCAGGAGAATTAGTTTGAAAGAGGATATTTGGTTCTTCCATTGCTTCATACAGCTTGTGTCTCCTTATGGTGTCGTAGGCGCTCATAATAAATAGATGATGAGTGTGAATTATATATTCATGACTACTTTCCAGAATCGTATAGAGGGTAAAGGTTTGACCACTAGTTGATCTGCTCTTTCGAAAACTTGTTTGGTATTTTCCGATTTCACATTCAATGAACTGAACAAGTCTGCTGTAGAGGATTTCAACGCACTGAAGTATCGAAATCACCGGGTAGTTAGCACATTCCAATTGTTCTCCTTTCTTGAGTACAGGGCATATGACCACACTCCAGATGGAGAATATCATGTCATAAATGGTCTTATGCACATCTTCGTCACTAGATTGGTTCAGGTGGTAATCAGTCATCACCTAGTGCGTTATGACTTTTCATCTTGGGTACTTGCATCCTGGATCTCTTCGAACTCAGGTGGTTCTGTGTCTCCATCATCGTGCCCAAAATGATGGTTCCTATAATACTGCTCTCATTCAGCAGCTCCCTCATTCAGGCAGCATTATATATGTTTACGATACGATGAAGCCAATTCCACTTCGTTATAGTACTGTATAGATCATAGGAACCTTTTTATCATTAAAGACCGTAGTAAGGTTAGGCAGTGCTAATGGAGGTCACTTTAATAATTCTTTATATTTTACCATTGCTATTTTTATTTATCACTAAATACACACACCCACATAAATACATTAAACCTAATTCAATTAATTTCCAAATTATCGATAGTTGAATATTAATTAATTATAGCTCTAGATTAATAAATATCGCTCAAAACGTTGTTAGGGGCAGGAGCATTTCAAAATCAAAAATACAAATCTTTCCCTGGTGAGTTTCCTCAATGGTGGGGATAATATGAATAAAATTAAATGATGAGAAAGAAAGTTAAAAATTTAATATAAAAAAAAAGAGACCTGTAAAAGAGAAATATTTATGCACAGTAAAATAATATTCAATAAAATATTCAATCAATAAAAATGGAAAATAGTAATCCCCCTTTTTGAATGTTTACAATATTTATTTTAGAAAAAAAAATATATGTACGAAATGCTGAAAACAAAACAAAATGAAACAACAATGTGAAAGTTCATCGAAATAAAAATAAAACATAAACACAACCCTCAAAAAAAAAAAAAAAAAAAAAAAGAATAAAATAAACTTCTATAATAATGATTAAAACCAAGAGAAAAAATTTAACTTCCAATAGAACAAAACCAAATTAATGTTTAAATGTATTTCGGAGACGGTGGAAAGTGAAAAACCAGCCAAGTTGGAGGCTCTACGTCCAACGATGTTACCGCAGTAAGCTATCAGTCGATGTTGGGGATTATCGAGTCGATAGACCTATCGATCTCGATCGATGACTGCCGATACCGGTGCACAGCTGTCGTTTTACAGTGGCGCTAGGTGAGGTGAGACAGAAGCGGTTGGGGAGGGTTACTGACGATATCCGGCGTATACCCTATATCTAAGACAGCTCGCTCCTGACTGATTTCCTCTAAGACTGAGTATTACTGCCGGGTTGGATCATATGCACAAACGCGACAATACATCGCAAATGAAGCTAAATATATAAATATATTTAATGCACTGAGATATATTTTAGAGACACTATCCCTCAATTTTTTAATAAAAAATTAATAAACGTTTACTCTGTGAACATTCTAAAAGGGTATAAATAGTGAGACAAAAAATTATGGTACAAATTATAGGTGGGGATCTTTTTATCATTAGATGCCACAGAAAGATTAGGCAGAGCTAATGGAGGCCGCAATAATTTTTTATATTTTACTGTTGCTATTTTTATTTATTACTAAATACATACATTAATCTTCATTCTATTTATTCCCGAATTGAAATAACTTAATATTAATTAATTCTAACACTAGATTAATAAATATTACGCAAAAACCTTTGGAGGTCACGCTACTCAACAGAGGCCACGTGCTGCCTCCGAGGCCGCGGTTCCCCACCTATGTTATACATAGTACAACATTAATTGTAAAGATTACAACAAACCTCTTTTTTTTTATACATTTTTTTCATTCGTTCTAAAGAATTTTGAGGCATAACAACGTGGAATCTGTTAGACTTCACTATTAATATGTATCATTTAAGTTAATATTACACAACTCAATTTTAAAGCGGCTGTTGAAACGGGAAGTATGCTTAGAAGTTTGAAAACGATCAAATAATTGAATCCGTAACTAGCTATAATCCGAAATTCAACGTTCAAGAAATCGACCGAGTCGTAGATACGAAGTCAGACTTCATCAGCTTAGGTTTTGTTGGGTTGAACGGAACAAGAATAGTGGTACCGCCATCGAACCTAATTAATATTATTGGGAATTAATAATAAACATTCAACTGCTTTTAGAAATTGCAGAATTAAAATAATATTGAACAGTTCTAAGACATTTTTTTCGATGTATTGTTTTTTATCTGAGTAATCATTGATGATGAATTCACATTTAATTACAAAAATGGGAGCATTTGCTGGGAAGAATATGTGATAAGTGAGGAAAGCTAACCTTTCATACTCCTCTCATAATTTATTGCTTGACGTTTCGGGTTGATTAACCATTATCACAAAATTCTGAATTTTTTTTTTTTCTTCAATGATACTTTATCTCATCATTATTTCTGTCTGATTTTTTTTTTCACTTTTAATAGTTGCATATTGTTTATTTACTTTAAACATCATTAAGTTGATCATTAAATTCTGAGTACATAAGCAATATTTTAAGTCGGCAAATAAATAATTTTAACTTAAGCTAAAAGCTTATGGCAGCTTTAAAGTAAAACTTTGATTTTGAATCGGTATTCCTGAAAAAATATTTGTCGTACCATCCTATGTTGTATAAAAAAAAAAAAAAAAAAAAAAAAAAAAAAAAAAAAAAAAAATACATCTATCTAGGATATTTGAAAGCGAAATTGGAATATTTCAAATGCATATAATCGAGTCTCTAGAATATACAAACACACAATATATACAGAAAACATAAAATAGTATTAATATAAATAATAAAAAAGTATATACAATAAAAAACTAAAAAAAACCTTGAACTATAACATAAAATTATGAGTAAGGAAAATATAGTCTTGGTGACGCTTGGCTCTAGAACGCCATAAAATATCCAATAAATCCTATCAATGATAAATGTATAAGCATCATACGGACAGAAAAAAAAACTGAGGCTCAGATTTATACATGCAGTTTGTAAACAAGCCACTCCACATCAACAGTCCAAGAAAGACAAATCATATAGAAAAAGTACATCATTCCAAGATATTAAAAAAATTCTAGAAATAATTATACAAAACTCGTAGTGCATTTAAGTGTCTTGGGGTGATATTCTGCTTCTAGGTCATGAATCATTTTTGGAATGCAGATATAATGATTATGGCGGAATGAGCGAAACAGTGAAGAATTTATCTATATGTTAGAGAGACACAAGTATTTGTATTTCGAATCTTCCAATTACATCCAAATCACTATTTTGGTTTATTATTTTCAATAATGAACCATTGTTGAACGAACCACCGAACGAAAAATGCAAAAACTTAACACCCACTGAAAGTTTGAGGTTTTTTAAAAGTTTACGGAATTTTCTAAAAAAAAAAAATCGTTAAAATCGGACAATTAGGAGCAAATGTATGGTCTCATGATGTTTTTTATATGTTCTATTGCAAAGGTTATATTATATTTTGCTTTGGTTTTTATTTTTGAATGTGTTACTGAAGTAATGCTATTTTTTTTTAGCATATCACTAATGATTAAAAAAAAAATGTTTAATCCAATAATTGGAATCACCTTTTATTTCTTTTTCTTTGTCACTAGGAAGGTAATGTTACTTTAGATGTATAATTGTTTGGAAATAATTAACCATTGTGAAATAATTTGCAGTGTTTTTTTTTTTTCATTTTACATTGATATATTACGTTAATACTGATTTTTTGGAATAATTTCAGCTTCCATGAGATAGGTTACTACGACGTGCCGGCTTGCATAGATTACATCCTCCAGCAAACAGGCCACAACAGTCTCCAGTACATAGGCCACTCCCAGGGAACGACCATCTTCTTCGTCCTCGCTTCGACAAGGCCGGAGTACAACAAGAAGATCTCTCATATGACTGCACTTGCCCCGATAGCTTTCTTGGGCAATACGAATGGTATAATTCGAGTGCTGTTTTTTTTCTCGCCTATAGTGGAGGTAACACTGGTTTAATGAGCTCCAACATAAACATATATTTTTATCTTTGACTTTAATTAAGCCATTCATTCTCTTCCAGGTATTCTATCAAGTCACTGGTACTTACGAATTTCTAACTGGCACATCGATTGTCCATCCGATAGCGAAAGGAATATGCTTACCGGATACGGTCTTAGGGAATCTTTGTAATAACATTATCTATCTAAGTGTTGGATACGATTCACAGCAGTGGAATATGGTTTGTTAAATATTTATTTCTTATATGTTGATCAAGAAAATTTTCTGATTTTTATTTTGTCTCAAATAAAAAATATATTATTGTTTAATCCTTTCTTGTCTAGTAAAAAATATTTTAACTATTTTCCAGACATTGGCGTACAACGTCTACGACTTTATACCAGCAGGAAGTTCTGTCAAACAGTTTTCGCACTATTCCCAGATAGCTAAAAGTGGTAATTGAAAAATTGTATCATTATAATATTGAAGTTATTATCTACCTAAGATTAAATTATATAGGATTTTTGTTTTCGGGCCAAGAAAGGATTTTAAAATGATTATGATGTCCTACTTAATTAAAAGACTATTTCTGGGGAACTCCTGTGTCGAAAATGGTGAATCGTTTGAGTACGCGTGGGTACGTGTGTGCACTTCCTAACTTAAAAAAGAAAAGAATGTACGTAACTAAAATTAGGTATTTATTATGTGTATATATATCATAAATTTTTGGGGTGTAGCAATAACCTTTTCGCCATAATCGACATACTGAAAGTGACACTTGCAAAAATCAATTTCACACTTTTTAATACAATTTTTCTCCACATCTCTAATGGTTTTGATTTAACTGGTCATGTCAATGTAAAATCAAATGTTTTTAATATTAAATGAGTATTAACCTCTTTGAAATAACATAACCATGCTTAAATGTTTAATTGTCAAAATTTCCTCCTCTAAAGAACATTTTATTTTGCTTATTTAAATTAGTACATCATCTAAAATTACTAGTAGATTTAAAATATGGATAAATATGAACATTGAAAGAATTTTCTAATTAACTACATGTTGAATATCAGTGAATGATGAATATTTGAACCAAAGACGTAGTTCCGAGTTGTCACGAAAAGTTTACACCGACATATAGACGTTTCTCATCGCGAAATAAATTAAGTTAATGTTTAAAAACATATTTTGAACAGAAAAGACATTATAGTCAGATATTCAGGAAGTAAATAAGACGTAGGTCCTTGAAAACTGACTTCAGCTCATAGGTCAAAAAATCTATTGAAAATTGAATTTTCATGATTAATTCTGTTTGTTTGCAATATATACCTTTCTTATTATTAGAAAAATGGCTTATTTTAAACGAAATAATTTTATGATTGGCTAAAGGAAAACTATTTTCCCAAGTTGTAAGCAAATTTAAGGTTTCAAATAAATTAATTTTCGAAATATCCTGCCTTAGAAAGTAATAGAGGATAACGGAAGCCATTTTTAATAACTGTACCACCATTTATAATTTATTCCTTCTCTAATCTACAATGGGAAATTCATGTTTATATTAAAAATAGGGTGGTAAGTGAATGTTATTTGTTGGGTTCGCCGCACTAGATTTTTATATGTGTTTTTATTACCGATATTGATGGACTAATGGCCGAAATGATGAGAAAAAATGTAGTCTATGGCCTCACGGAGGATGAATTCCCCAGTTAGTGACGGAGCAGAACTACCCATATTACAAAGATTTTGTGAACGGATGGAAAGCTGTTCTGGGACCCTCCCACTATAATCTGGGAAGAAGAGGGCCTGCTAATGGAAGGCCACCAGGCTAATATGGCGAAAATAATGAAAAAATAAGAGATGTGAAAAATCTCACGTGTGTGATGCCATCCCTGCAAAATCCCGTGTATCCGAAAGGCAAGGAAGGGAGGCATAAATAAACAAATAATAAATTACCGATATTACTATTTTAATACCGGTATTTAGTACTACCCAATTAGTAGGGGCGCGAAGGCCGAGTGGGCTAACGCGTGTGCACAGCACCGTGCGTTGCTTGATAACCGAAGTTATACAGAATAAAATAGGTACGAGTTCGCATTACGGTGCCAGAGAGGGTTTTTAACTCTGGCATCCCCTGGCCTCACCCCCTGGCCCGGGAAAACCCCGTACAGCCTAAAAGGCGAGGAAGGGGAGAAACAAATATCTATACTAATTAATTTTTAAATATATATTTACTTTTCCATTATATGTATTGTAAATATTACATTTAATACATATCAGTTATTATAATTTATCTATATCTTAATCAATCATAGCAATGTTAGAATGTCGTTTATTTGATTTTTTTTTTTTTTTTTTTAGAGGCATTATTTTCATTTATTTTTTTAGGTGGATCCTTTCGAAAATACGACTACTCCTACTCAAAAAATTTTGAGATTTACTCCCAATATGAACCTCCCAACTACGACTTATCCAAAATCACAATTCCGGTTACTCTCTACTACGGTAAAAACGATTGGCTTTCAAGAGTACAGGTTAGCATACTATCAAATTTCAAAATAACTCTTTTTTATTTTTTTAAATGGATAAATTACTACATTAACATAAACAAATTGTTTCGCCTACAGGACGTGATGAAGTTGCAGTCTAAACTTCCGAACAGCATTGCCAAACTCGTTCCGTATCCAGCCTTCAATCACTTGGACTTCTTGTGGGCCAACGACGTGGTCCCTCTTTTGTATGAAGATCTAGTAGAAAACATGGAGAAATATTAGATTTTCGATAATGTTTCGGGAAATTTCCATAACAATGCTAGTTTCCCAAAATCATCAAACCATGGACTACAACTGTTCCTGAAACCATCATAGTATCCATGGGAAAATCATGAGTTATCAGTTTGTTACGAACAGCTTCTATGACCATCAAAGGGTGGTAATGTCTATATCATATGTCTTTGGCTTATGCTCTTGGATCGCGGAATAAGAAATATTTGATGTTACTGATTAAAATACGAAGCATGGCTATTGATAGGTTTTGAAATATCCAAATCTCAAACGACTCGGAAGAAAATCTTTTCTTCTTTCAACTACAGATAGAGAAAAAAGACATGGATCATATTATAACTATATTTATATATTCTTGTTTGATCATACAATCTAAAATTGAATCCTAGGGAAATTTAATTCAAGTTTTTTAATCGCTGTTTTACACTGAATAATTCAATTCAAACTTCTGAAAATTTTCTCATTTAAGGTTTAGAAAAAGTAAACAAGGTATTGCGAAGAAAAAAATATTTAAACAATTATTCCAAGCGAAAATCCCAATTCTTTCTCAAAATACCACTTAACATGCTCTTTCACTTAGTACTTCATTTATTATTATATTATATTAATATTATTTTTAAATTCCGATGCTAACCAAATTACAACAAAAATAATTAGACATATTATTATAGACATATCGAACATTATGGATCTCTTTTTCTATTTGTATTTTTTTTATAATAAGACTTAACTTATTATCTGATATGGTCCTTTTTTTTTAAAGGAGAGTGAATGATATGTAAAAAGGATTTGTACTTATTTATTCATTAGTTATAAGATTCCTTTATAGTTTTTATATAAATGAAATAAAATTGAAAAAAAAGAGACAACAAATGTGTAGAAAAATAAACTTTTTGTTAAATTACAATAAATTTATTTAAATGTTTAAGCTAGGAATTCTCAAAATAAAATTTTATATTTATTTCATTTTGAAATATCCAGAACCTAATTTTATCTATCATTTTTTCATTGAAGAATCTCCCAACAGGTGCTATAAGCAGGAAACATGCTTCAAGAGAACCTTATCCTAGTGAAAATAAACCAAAAAAATAAATAAATAAAACAACAGACATAAATTAATCATTCAGGATTTTGCCTGAAAATACAATTTGTATTATTATTATTATTATCACAGGCTAATTTTTCATACCTATACATAGATATGAGGCAAACATGAATGAAATAAAAAAGTAAAGGTGATAATAAAATTGAAAAAAAAAAATTATTAAATTAAAAAAAAAGTTTTTGATGGTTGAACCACCTTGAATCACAAAAAATAAATTATTATTTGGGTTGCCTCCAAATTTATTTTGTGGCCTTAGTTTGAAAAGGTTCCAACTAACTTTGGGGAAATTGAGTTATCACTCAGAAATAACTTATAACAAAGTTATCCATGTTCCAAATGAATTTTAGTGTCATCAGTTGAAAGACAAAGAAACCAGCAATGTGATTTTAACTACAGCCAACTTTTGAAAATTGTTTGAGAAGGTTTTAACTGCTATAACATGTAGGTGTACATCATATATAATTATTTTAATGAGAGTTAAATTATATCATTTATATTATTAGTAAAGATCTGTTCTTTGTAAATCACATATTTGCATCGGTTATTTCAGAAACGACATATGTGAAATTTTCATAATTTTTAGAAAAACTACGAACAACTGTATTCTGCTAATATTCTAGAAGATAAAAAAGATAAAAACAAATATGTAGTGTAAACAAACAAATTTTGCAATATTTATGTTGGTTTTTGCAATGTATATATAATAAGATTATCAGAAATATATATATTTTTAATTTTACTTTGTTATTGTTAATGTAAGAAAACAGATTTCTTTATTTTTTATTTAATCATATCTGCATGGGTAATGATTTAAAAGTGGAGTATTGCTTCTGAAATAAATAACCTTTATTGCATTTAACTTAATAATTATAAAATAATTTAATAAATCAATTGGTAAAAAGAAATAAAATGTACGAAATATTTTTATTTAATTCCGATTTTTCAATTCTTCATACCCTCCATGAAACATAAAACCTCAGATTTTAGAGTTTGCTATCTGCACTTAAAACTTTGTCTTATCACGAAAATGCATTCTGAATGACAAATTTCTAACTACAAAATTTGATTACCCAAAATGATATTAATGTGTGGTATAATTAAGTCATCGATAAATGCAAAGTGAAGTTTTACAATTTCAAGATATTTTACAAACAATATTGTTAGTCTAGCTTTTATTTTTTTACCTACAGTCAGATCGTTTTCAACCTGTAATATGAATCTCATTATTCATATTCTGCTCTTCTCACACTTTTATCATACATAAAATAAAAATTTTGATTTTTCCCTTATTCTTTTCCCGATTCCGATACATATTTTGTATTTTCTATGCGTTCTCGTTATCTATCTTCAGTATTCGTTGTTGTTAATTAATTGTCTCCCATGTATAAGGGATAATGTTGATTAATTGATAGTGTTTTTTTTAAAGATAAAGAAATCGTCAAAAGATAAAGACACAGCTATTGAAGACAAATGCACATATATTTGAATCAAAAACCTTCAATTTACTTTCTGCTTATCATCACCATTAGTCGTGGGCAATACATAATCGTATATATAAAACAGGATCTAGTAATCCTAAAATACCTGGAAAAGCCGCAGAATTTGTTTAACCTGCAAAACGAAAGAGGCGGGAAATTTTATGAAAAACTCTGCAATTCAGGGCATTTCACAGGCAGGAAAATGTGAGTTTTTCAAGAAACCTGTAACATTAAATATAATTTATGTTCTTTTTTGTGGGAAGTTGTATGTTATTCTTTGTTTTTGGCAATAATGACTTCCAAGTAAACAACAAATGATTTTTTGCAAACACTCAATAATTGGTCTAAAAGCATGATGATGCTCTGGATATTATATACTTTAATTTATTATAACATGAATTTGGAACCTGACAATGGAGCACATTAGATTTAAGCCATGAATAAACAAAAAAACATTGGGAATGTAGTTCTGAAGATGGTAGTAAATATCCCGAAACGTTAACATGTAAACATGTAATTTGGAAATAAAACAAATAAATCAATTGTTGTTCAATTGGAAGTCATCATTGCCAAAAACAAAGAATAATTTATGTTCTTTTGTCAAAAAAGGGTATTTAGGCTTTGTTAAATGATCATTAAAGACAATATTACTGTCGAAGAGGTTGATTTCATATTTTTACTTTCCTGAACTCTACTGGGTAAAGAAAGTATTCCGATTGGTCGAATTTTCGATTTGCGGTTTTCAAATGATCTAAACGTTCCAGAGCCCACTGAGACCGAAAAACGAGTTTTCAGCCATTAATCTGTCTGTCTGTCGGTGCCAAGAACATCTCGGGGACTAGTTGACCAATTTCGTTGCTTCTTGTTATATTTTTTAAGGTTGTGACTACCTATGCCTGTGGCAAAAATTGGCTGTTTCCTACGCAATGAGAGAAAAACAAGTTCTATTGACCACAGCGCAAAATCGGCACTAACGACTTTCATAAAACTTTCCTATAATTTTCTACTTAGTGTCTTTTTAATTTTCGAACAAGAGATAAATCCGGGAGAAAATTTAGGAAAAAAAAATGTCTTGGAAAACAAAATTACCTAACTTGCATACTATATGATCTATTGTAAAATTGATATAGACTCTTTTTAAAGGTGATTAAATTACATAAAAACGAAAAAAAAATCATCAACATCGAACCAGTATTAACCAAGATACAGTGTATTCTATTTTCTACACATATTTTAATTTATTACATTTCTACCTCTACTAGATAAAGAAAGTATTGAGATCGAGTCAAAGTTTCGATATGCAGTTTTCAACTAATTTTTACGTTTTAGGGCTCTCTGAGACCGAAAAACATTTTTTCAAAAATCAAAAACCAAACAAAGGATTTTAGCTTTGCTGTAAAACGTGTGAAATATCATTAGAAAAGATAAGACAATTTTTGCATCCAATCATCTGACTTCAAGGATTTTTCTTTTGTGTTCAGGGAATTTCGTAAACTTTTAAATGATCACATACAACATCCACTAAAACTAGTTAATCGGAGTAGTAGAGTTAATCGGAAATATAATTTGACCACCGCTCGTAACTTCGAGCTTCTTATCGGAGATGTATGTTATATATATATAAACCTAAAGGCCTTCGGTGTTAAGAATTTAGCTGTGATTTATTGAAATGGGTACGTCGATTTAGACGCTACATCTGTACGACACACGTCATCAGGCCGTCATTTTGAAAGGAATGTACTTTTTGTTAAAGTATGCCGAATTGATAAATTTTAAGCGCATCGAGGGGAAGATTTCAATAAAATTTTAATTAGAACCTGTACATATATTACTGTTCATAGCGACATATATTTTTCGTACACCATCTTAAAAGGAAAAGCAATTTTCCGGGTTCTGAAAATCATCCTCGGGTTCCCTTTGATATTGATATCAAATATCAAAACAATCGGTCCAGAAGTGTTGGAGAAAACCCGTGAATTCTACGTTTCTTAAAACGTAAAACCTCTAATTTTTAGGAGAGGTTAACGTTGTTTTTCTTGGTCAGTTACAAAGACTGATTTTTGAAAATAAGAAACAAAATGAATATTAGGTATACATTTATTTAGATACTGTTAGGAATTTTTTCTTTCACGTTTTTGGTATAGCTTTCTTGAATGAATTTGCCAGATAATTATCACAATCTCAAATTATCGCATCTGATTCTTGTATAAATCATTAGCAGAGCGCACGTGCGAATCTACGGGTGGGGGGAGGGGAATGAGAGTAGGTTTGGGGCTGAAGCCCTCCCAAAATGGTAAAATATAACTATGTTTTATGGAAAAAAAATTATTTATTAAGTATTATTGTTCGTGTAATTACATTTAAAATGACTTTAGAAATCACAAACACTATTTCATATAGGTAGTTAGTTTCTTTCTTTTTTTCAAAGTAATTATCGTTATTTTTATGAAAAAAAAAGCTTTCGGGGTCAAGCTCCCCCAAAATTAAATCCTGGATCCGCAAGTGGCAGAGAGCACAAAAACATTTTGATTACAGTAAGACGTTGGCGGTCGTTGGCGCGAGGTACTTCCTGATGAAAAAACGAAATTTCAGAATGACTTATTTTATGAAAATACGATTACAAAAATTTATTTAGAAATAACTTATTTGACTTATTTACAAAAATTACAAAACCAAAAAAATGTTCAGAGTTCAGCAAAAAGGCCTAAAATATATTTAACGATTAATAACTTACATGATTAATGTGGCAGAATTTTTTTTTTTCCTTTATTAAACCTTTTTATTGAGAAATAATACATTTTTCCACATTTAAGGGCACTGAGTACAAAAGCTGAATGAGGCCCATTCATACTATATATACAACGCAATAAAAAAAATAAATAAAAATATATATCTATATAACAAAGGTAAAAACTATAAAACTAAAGAAATGTAACTTGAATTCAAATTAAAAAAAATATAATAATAATAATAAAAAAAAATAAATAAATAAAAAAAAATACAGAAATTGGTAGCAAATTAAATAAGTATAAGTAAAACAAATAGATATATAAAAAAGAAAAACATTCATACTTAATATATAAAAAAGAAAAACATTCATACTTAATATATAAAAAAGAAAAACATTCATACTTTATTTACAATCAGTCAAGGGAGCTTCGAGTCCAGCCTTTTCCTCCACGTGTGAAGGACAAAGCGAGACTCTAAGAGATCCCAGCGCTTCTCTCTCAGCTGCGTCACCGGCAGGAGTCCAGTGGAAACTGAGAGAGGGCACTAAAGCAACAGACGCTCATGACGTGAGTGGAGAGGATGGCCATTGCCAGAACTCCAGTGACAGTCTTCACAAAAGGTCTCGACCTTTGAGGAGGATTGTAGGGGTGACTGGAGCTGGATAAGGATTGTGCTAAGGAGTTAGGATGGTGGATTAGGTTCAGATGAAAATTTGAGAATCGAGATGGAATAACGTCAAGGACATAAGGGATGTAAAGGTCATGATGTAGGGTTTTGTTAGTAACATAATAAGGAGCATTGACTATTATACGGAGGACTTTAGACTGAAAGGATTGGATGCGTTTGATGTTCAAAAATTTAGTTGTCCCCCACAGTTCAAGTCCGTAGGTCCAGATGTGTTTGAGTATGGTCTTGTATATTAATAGTTGGTTTTCTATTGAGAGATTGGATTTTCTGTTAAGTAGTCTGTATAGCTGGTCAAATCGTCGGTTAAGTTCTTGTCTTTTAAGTCTGGTATGTGGGTCCCAAGTTAGTCTTTTGTCTAAAAGGAATCCAAGATACCGAACTGTGTCTGAGACGGGGAGAGGTACAGAGTTGAAAAGGATATGTGGACAGGATCTGCGTCGGAGGATAAAGGTGACATGCTTGCATTTGGATTCATTTATCTTAATGCGCCAATTGTTGCACCATTGCTCAATCAGGGAGATGTGTCTTTGTAGGTTTAAGGATGCTGTTTCAGGATCTGAGTGGGATGACAGGATGGCGGTATCGTCAGCGAAGGTTGCTAGAAGGGAATCAGGGTTGGTTGGAATGTCAGCGGTGAAGAGGATGAAGAGAACTGGGCCCAAGTACTTGACTTGTGGAACACCAGCTTCAATTGGATAATAGTTGGAGAATTCAGTGCCGCAGCGGACTTGAAAGGAACGATTCGAGAGGTAGGATTTGAGGACTAGGTACAAGAATTGGGGTAAGTGAGTTTTGAGCTTGAAAAGCAAGCCATCATGCCACACCCGATCGAAAGCTTGCGCTACGTCCAGAAAGGCACTGGTGCCATATTGCTTGTTTTCAATCGCAGAGGATATATGATCAACAACACGAAGGCCTTGTTGAACAGTGGAATGTCTTGAGCGCAATCCAAACTGATGGGATGGGATATTGTGAGTTTCGAGTATGGGTAGGATGCGTTTGCGAAGGATTTTTTCAAATATTTTGGAGAGGATTGTGAGCAAGCTTATTGGTCTATTGGATGAGG